AGAATATGAGACTGTGAAGAGAAGGAAGTCATAAAGATGCTTCATCAACCAAGTCACCCCAGTGGGCAAGTGGACATGAATCCCATGGGGGAACTTCAAGAGCTGGTTTGGAACACAGCCTTTTAATTACTCTGTGAGAGATGAGGGAGCTAGGGCATTTATCTAGCAACTCTTTATATGCCATCTTTTATCAGTCATTCATTGAGTGCTCTACCAGGGGCATTAGTTCCCTGGCATAAACAGGCCTGTCCTGCGTATGGTTGAAGCAGTCTCTGGTGGTCAGAACCCCTCAGGACTGGCTTTGGTGGTGAGGCTGGTGTGTGACAGTGGTATGTAAGGAATAGTGGGCAGGGCAGCCACGGCATCGGCTACGGAGGACTGCCGAGTTCCCATCATTCCACCTACAGGGATTGGTAAGCCCCTGTGGAACAATGATTATCGTTCTTACCACTGAAGAGAGTTTGAGCAAGCTCTGGGAGTTGGTGATGGACAGGGAGGCCTGGAATTGCTGCAGTCTATGGGGTCGCAAAGAGCTGGACACGACTGAGCCACTGAACTGACTGACCACTGAAGAGAACTTTGAGTCTCATCCATTGTTGGCAGAAATGTAAATAGTGGGATTACTATGGAAAACAGTTTGGTGGTGGGTCCTCAAAGAGTTAAGAGTTTCTATTGCTGCTGCTGCTAAGTCACGTCAGTCGTGTCCGACTCTGTGCAACACCACAGACAGCAACCCAACAGACTCCTCTGCCCCTGGGATTCTCCAGGCAAGAGTACTGGAGTGGGTTGCCATTTCCTTCTCTAATGCATGAAAGTGAAAAGTGAAAGTGAAGTTGTTCTGTCATGTCCAACTCTTAGCAACCCCATGGACTGTAGCCTACCAGGCTCCTCCGTCCATGGGATTCTCCAGGCAAGAATACTGGAGTGGGTTGCCATTGCCTTCTCCAAGAGTTTCTATAGGACCCGGCAATTCCACTTCTAGATATATACCCACCCTGCCCCCCAGAATTGAAAATAAATGTCCAAACAAAAACTTGTCCACAGGTGTTCATAGCAGCATTATTCACAGTAGCCAAAAGGGGGAAACAACTCAAACGTCTATCAACTGATGATATGGGTAAACAAAATATAGCATACCATACAGTGGAGTAGTCCTCATAATAAGGAATTAAATACTAACATACTAGCACAGGGAACTCTGCTCAATGTTATGTGGCAGCCTGGTTAGGAGGGAAGTTTGGAGATAATTGATACATGTATATGTATACATGTCTGAGTCCCTTTGCTGTCCACCTGAAACTCTCACAACATTGTTAATCACCTGTACTCCAATAAAAAAATCAAAAGTTAAAAATACTAATACATGTTACAAATGGATGAATCTTGAAAACATTATCCTGAGTGAAAAAAAAACCCAGCACTTACTGTATGATTCTATTTATATGAAATATCCAGAACAGGAAAATTTGTAGAGACAGACAGTGTGGATTAGCAGTTGCCAGAGGCTGGGGGAGGAGGGAATGGGGAGGAATGCTAATGGGGATGGGTTTCCTTTTGGGGTGATGAAAATGTTCTGGAAACAAATAATGGTGATGTTTACACCACATTGTGAATGTACCACATGCCACAGAATTAATTAAAATGATACACTTTGTATTATATGTATTTTACTACAATTAAAAAGAAGAGCTCCAGGCATTGCATAGCCTGAATTGCAGGGTCTACTGTTTCCCAGGTGGGAAACAAACCCAGTGCATGTTGTGTGTACACCAGGATCCCACAGCCGGAATGGTTCTCTTGAGGGGCTGCTTCTGGGGGCACTACGTGGGAGTTGGGCCCCATAGCTTGGCTTCTTTCCTGTCTGAATGGTGCAAACAGAGGTTGCTGGAAGCCTCCCTAATGGGGAAATGAGTCCTGTGTCCTGGAGAGCCTAAGCCAGGCCTGGCTTCTACAGAATGGCAGGATAGCTGGGCGGGGGAGTATGTGCCTAGCAGGAAAATTGCGGGGCGTCTTGTCTTAAATATAATATTAAATTGGCACCTTTAATTAGTACACTTAGAAAAGGTCACTAGCAATTACCTGGGACACAAAGAAGGCGTAAGCAGGCAAGAGCCCGTGAGGAAGCCGAAAAGGACCATTTTGAGCAGCACATAATTGAGGGGAAAATGGATAAAAGTCCAGAAAATTACAGGGTGGGTGACAGCAGCTGATGGCCCCATCCCTGTCCTGCCCAGTGCCCCCCTTCTTGGGAGAGCCTGAGCATCAGGTCTGGGAGAGCAATTAGGGATACTGGGCCAAGTTGTGTGACCTTGCGTGGGGGGCCAGTGTGGCCTTTCTGGAATCCCATGGACTGGCTGGGAGCTTGGCCCCATATTCTCCACCTGGGCTGGGCCCTGAAGGAGGTTGACAAGTGAGATTTCCAGTCCAGGCGGCTAACATGGACTTGATGATGTATTGTGGACAAACAGGGACCCCATGGTCCTCAGTTTCCTCGTGTTGAATCTCCCCAAGGCCTTGGGAAGTAGCTCATTATTCCTCAGACTTTTCCACTAAAGGACCCCTGAGGGTATCAGAAAGGAACCAGGTGTCCCTGGAAGTCAGCAGGAGGCTGGAAATTCTTTTATGTTTTAGATTATATCTTTAAAAAATGAATTAAATATTATACTCATATTATATTCCTATTTGTCTTAGTATAAAATAGTTGCTTGTCACTGAGTGACACAGATGCTTTGGGGAGATGTGCTTGGTTTTTCTATGACTTCACATATCTCCTCCTTCCTCCCCTAGGAAGGAGCACTGTACTGGGAGTCTGGAAACTTGGGCTTAAGCCCTGACTCAGTTGCTCACTGTTGTACTTCGGGCAAATTGCTAAATGCTTTCAGTTTCTCCACCTTTAAAATAGGAAGGGAACTCCCCAAAAGATCTCTGTTTTTGGGCTCACATTTCATGTCTGGCATTTCATAAGAGGCTAATGATTGCCCAGTATCTGCTTTTTCTGAGTCACTTAGGGCCTGATAGAGTCATGTTTATGGAAGTCCTGAATCTTGAGTTCACATATCAAGTGTTGAGATTTGTAAGATTGTGGAAACAAATGTGGGCACTGGGCCAGAATGCCTGGGCTTTGAAGCTCTGCTCTGCCATTTTCCAATTGCGTGGCCATGGTAAATTGCTTAATCACTCTGTTACCTTATTTGTTAAGTGAGGAGAATAACAGGAAAGATTGAATTAGATATTACACAGAAATCCTTAGCCAAGTATCTGGAATGTGGTTAGTGCTCCAGAATACTGGTTCTCATTGTCACGTTAGAAATTCTTTCAAAAGTTGACTTAGAAAAGCTCATCAGCATTCTTTTCTAAATAAAATCCCAAGTTTTGAATCCTTCCTTCCTTAGCTAGATCATCTGAGCTATTCAGTAAATATGAGAGTCAGTATATGGGGCAAAAAGAGTGTCCATCCCATTTTATAGGGTAAACTGAGGCTTTGAAAGAAGTGATTTGCTGAAGGCCATGGTTCTAACCTAACTACTTCGAGAATCAGATGAAAACTGCAGACCCTCCCTGCAGAGAATGACAGACTATACACTCAGAACATTTTGCACAGTTCTTGGGGGTTTAAGGACCTCTTGAAGCTACAGTAACCACCTAATCCAGTGCCTGGGACCTCTTGGTTTTAGCACATCTCCTGGGAAATGCCTCAGTTCAGTTTAGTTCAGTCACTCAGTCATGTCCAACTCTTTGTAACCCCATGGACTGCAGCATGCCAGGCTTTCCTGTCCATCACCAACTCCCGGAGCNCACCTTTTCATTCACTAAAGGTTCTTTAGTTCTTCTTCACTTTCTGCCATAAGGGTGGTGTCATCTGCATATCTGAGGTTATTGCTATTTCTCCCAGCAATCTTGATTCCGGCTTGTGCTTCATCCTAGAAATAATGAATGCCTCAGTCCTAGACAAACTTGGGTGGTTGGTCACCCTACCTGAAGGCTACCTGAGGGGCTGCTGTGAACCCCAGGGGAAGGTGACCTACTCTAAGACTTCTTAGGCAGGGTTAGGCCAGGCATTCTCATGCCCAGAGTGGCCTCTGGCCAGGGCTTTGTTTCTTTGTGAAGGCAGCACCTCAGCCCTCTAACTGTGGACAGGAGCTAGACTTTGTCACCTGGCTTTGGACTGGAGTCCCCTGATGCTGCTGCATATCTTCCTAACCTCTGTGTACTCCACACAGCCAGCACCTAATCACTGTTGAATGAATGCCAGGTTTGTAAAATTTTCTGAATTAGAAAATATTGCTTCCATTTGGGAAAGACAGAAATCCAACTCTACTTAGGCAAAAAAAAAAAGGGGGGGTGATTTATTAGCTCACACAGCTGAGCAGTCCAGGGGATAGAGCTAATATCACGTATAGTTGACTGCAGACCCTCAAACCATTAGGAATCTCTGTCCATGCACCATTTGGCTCTGTTTTCCTCCTTGTTGGCCTCATCCTCAGGCAGGCTCTTCCTGTGGTGCCAAAGATGGCTGCCAGCAGGACCAACCCCAGTGGAAGAAAACCACCTCTCTCCTACTTGTTTCAGCAGAAGTCCCAGCATTGGCTTTGATTGGCTAGTTTGGGTCACATGCTCATCCCTGAACCAATCACTGATCAGGGAGATGCTGTGCTCTGATTGGCTAGGGCTAAGTAGTGTGTCCATCTTGGAACATAAGAATTGAAGAGTTGTGGACTTGTGCTCATTTGAGCCACATGGAGAACTCTTTCTCTCAGTTAAAAGACAAGAGGATAGGTGGAAGTCACAGAACAAGGTGAATGATAGTTAAACACTGTGACAAGTGACCAGGGCAGAGGCGGGGAGCCTGGGATGGAGCCAAAGATGCAAAGGGGTCCTGCAGCAGTCAGGGACCTGCTGGCGGTCTGTTGGGCGACTGCTCCCTATAGGAACTCAGCTCCCTGGGTGAGGTGCTCAAGAATGGACTAACCTCCTGTTTTTGTCCTCTGTGGGTACTTCAGGTTCCTCTGTGACCCAGTTGCTGGCCCGAGACATGGACAATGACCCCCTGGTGTTTGGCGTGTCTGGTGAAGAGGCCTCCCGCTTCTTTGCTGTGGAGCCTGACACAGGCGTGGTGTGGCTCCGGCAGCCGCTGGACAGAGAGGTATGACCCGCCTCGACCTCCACCCCAGTCCTTCCCTAGGGAGGCAGGGGCACATGCTAGAGGAAGATAGTTCATTGTCTTCTTACCCTGAAGCAGAATCTTCCTGCCTGAATGGTGTCCCTCTTCCAGGGCCAGTGCTGATGTCTGCATTTGGCTTTAGAATGGGGTGGTTGGGAGTGTCTCCAAGTAGGGGGCAACATTGGCTAGGCAAGAGGGACAGTGACCTTGGGTACATCCCCTATAGGATAGTGGCTCCATGGGAGTCACACTTGTCGTTTCCATGTGTGTGAAAGACAGTGGCTCAATTGTGTCCAACTTTTTTGCACCATTAGACTGTAGCCCGCCAGGCTCCTTATCCATGGTATTTTCCAGGCAACAATACTGGAGGGGGTTGGCATAAACCAACACAATTCTGTAAAGCAACTAAAAATTAAATTAATTTAAAAAAAAAGAATACTGGCCACTCCCTTCTCCAGGGGCTCTTCTAAACCCAGGGATCAAACCCAGGTCTCCTACATTCCATAATCCTCCCCCATACAACAAATGTTCCCCCGAAAGATATTTTCCAGAGACACAGGAACTGATGACAGTAACCCTTAGCAAATTAAAGTAAGGGTTTGAGCAAACCCACCCCCACTTTCTCCTCACATTGAAGTGGTCACACTTTGCTCAAGATCACACAGCAGATTCGAGACATAGCCCAGATTAGAACCCAAGATTCTTGACTTTTAATCTATTTCTCTTTTATGGGAAAGATCCATATTCTGAACCTACTTGTCCAATCTAAAAGACAGTGCTTATTTTGTAGCCCTCAGCTATCCAGTCCCAGACCAGCTCTTAGGGCAATGCTGGAGGGTCTCCACCCCCATGTAGGGCTCCGGACTCTGGGCCTCAGCTCGCCTCCCTAATGCTGTTCTCCTCCCTCCCTACGTTTTCTTTCAGACCAAGTCAGAGTTCACAGTGGAGTTCTCTGTCAGCGACCACCAGGGGGTGAGTGTCCCCTGAGGCCCCTGCTGCCTGGGGAGGTAGGGTCCCTGGGCCTTCGGGTGGAAAGATGCCAAAGGCTGAGACAGACATTAATTCCCCATGCTTGTCTTGCCAGGTGATTACAAGGAAGGTGAACATCCAGGTCGGGGACGTGAATGACAACGCACCCACATTTCATAATCAGCCCTACAGTGTCCGCATCCCTGAGGTAGGTGCCTCCAGGGTCACATTTGAGGGACATTTGGGGTCTGCTGCTCTGGGGCCATCTGGGAGTGGACTGATACTGGGGGATGGGCAGCTCCAGCTCCTTCTCTCCTGCCCACACCTCAGCCCAGGCACCTGCTCTGGGCACATTGGTGACCAAGCCAGTACCTCTGATGGGGCTTGTCTGCTGGTTGTAGAGAGCAGGTTGGTGGGAGCCTCACGCCTGAGAGAGGGCCCTGGATAAATCCCTGAACTCTGGCCAGAGTCAGGGATAGGATGGAGGTTGGGAGAGGCAGGTTGTACCTCGTTTTTTCCACTCACAGGGTGTGGGCCTTGGACAGGTGGGTTGGCAGACTTAAAATCCAAGGGCTCCCAGCTTTGGCCAGAACAGTCCCCCCAGGATGCAGGGCACATGCAGTGACTGGAAGGGGCTTTCTTTCTAGAACCTCACGCTCTCCCTGCTGGCTCGCCGGCCGTTGGCTCCTCTGGGTCATCTGTGTACTCTGAGTGTATTTGCATGAGCGCATGAGTGTAAAACCAAGTCATTGCTGGTAATTGAGAAGTACAGATTACTGCATTACGAACGGTTCGATTATAAGCTGGCTGCTGGCCCCAGGGTTCTCATTGCTTGCTGTCCCTCTCCCTGGTGGCTGATGGCAGGCTTCTGGGCTGGCAGTTAGTGATTCCAAGACCTTGAAGGTGGCAGATAAAGAGCTTCTGACTGGGTGTCCTTCAGGCCTGCCCTGGGGGCTCTGGGTGAGACAGCAGCAGTAAAGGGTGAGGATGGGAGATGGCATCCACTTGGGAGAGAGGCAGGCTGCCACTGTGGCGCTGGGGTTCTCGCCCCTTTATCTCGTTGGATGAGGAAACTGAAAGAGCTCTAGGAAAGGCCTATTTAGTTTATAGATGAGAAAAGTGAGGCTCAGTGTGGGAGAGTGACTTGTCTGAGGTCACACAGCTTTGACTTCCAGCTTCCTGACTCCCAGGGCAGCCTCAGATGCCTCAAGGATGAAGAAACCTGATATCGTGCCCCCATGTTCCTGTTGCTGGCCCTCCTTACTCAGCTGTGAGTCAAGGGTCCTATGCTTGTGCCAGAGAGAGGACCAACGTGCAGGTGGGGTACACTGGAGGTGCTCATACCCCCCCTGATGGAGTGGGACACAGGGAGAGAGACCCTGCAATCCAAGCACAGGGCGCAGTGCCCTGAGCTGTGGCCGGCATGCCCAGGATTGCAGCTTGGCTCTGGGCCCCTGCTCATTTAGAAGTCTCCCTAATTTAATTAAGGGTCTCTACGTGCCAGCCTGCACTCTGGGCCCAGGCTTAGAAACCAAGGGCATGGCTTGGAGTTAATGAGCCTTGGACCCATTGCTCAGCTGCCATCCTGGCAGGCATGGCTGCCCTCTGCCTTCCCTCACAGGGGCAGCAGACAGCAGCAACGGCAAGAGGATGAGGGATCGCATCCCTGCTCTCAGCCCCTGGGCTGGGGCCAGCCTTTCCTATCTCCCTTGCCAGAAGAAAATGTGACCTCTAGCACTGCCCCGTTGGAATCCCCTGGGATTCTCCAAAGGCCTCTGCCTCCAAGGAGAGAGCCTCTTCAGTCATTCATTTATTTAACAAATATTTATTGAGTGTCTGCTGTGAGCGTGGCGCCGTGCCAGGCTCTCACTGCACAGAGACCTGGGAAGCCAGAGGAATATATAATGACAGGAGCCAGAACCAGAGGCCAGAGACCCCAGGCTTAGCCCCTGCTCTGCCCCCAGATTTCTGGGTCCACTAGGGTGCATCATTTAACCTCTCTGGGCCATAGTCCTCCTTCTTTAATAAAAGCAGAGGACAGGTGAGATAAAATGGCCTGCCTCCTGCCCATCTGATGAGGAGAGGGTGGGCCAAGAGGGGCTAGCTCGAAGGACACACAGTCCTTGGAGGCAGGCCCATGTGGTTTACTCACCTGCATGTAAACCTCCCTGGGTCACTTCAGTGGCCTGATATTCGATGCCCTGCTCAGGGCAGCTCCATGTAGCCAGTGGGGATGTGGTGTCAGCTGGATGGAGGCCTGGCCACTCCTGACCCAAGGTGGTTTGGCACTGACCAGCCCTGCCCTGGGGTGGTCATCTGAGCTAGAGCTTAGCTGCTGGACTCAGATCCCAGCTGGAGTACCAGTTAAGAGTCTGCTAGTCTTGGCCCAGACTTCAGCCAGGGATCTCTTGCTTACATGGAGGTCACCCTGGAAACCCCAGGCCCTCACCCTTGAGAAGCGTGATTCAGTGGCAGAAGCCCTGTGGGTGTAAACAGGGTGAGAACACAAACCAGAGGAATGGGGAGGGGGCACGACAGACCCCACAAGGCATCAGTCCTCAGGGGTTACCAGAGCAATCAGAAAGATCTCGATATGCTTCCTGGAAGAGGTGGGTTTCCAGGAGAAGCTCACCAAGGTGAGCAGCAGAGCTCCTGTGTTATATGGTGGGCAGAGGTAGCCTGGAGGTCAAGACACCTGGGTTCTAGTGTTGACAACTAAGACTGTAGACCCGTTGCTGCCCCTCTGCTGGCTTCAGCTCCAACAGCTGTTAAGCTGAGGCAGTTGGCCAGGCCCCTTCCAGGACTGACGTTCCATGGTCTGAGTAGGAATCCCAGAATGAGTGGCTCCTTCTTATCCTCCAGTACTTCATTATTCCTTAAAGGGCTGGCAAAGACCTCCAGTGGCTCCCTCCATCCACTTAGCTCCTCTTTTGGTAGTCCCAGTCACCTGCATGTCATCCCTAACCTTCCTGACCTCCACTCCCCCCAGCCCTAGGGGCCTTCATAATATTTGGGTCTGTTGTGCCCAGAACCCTGGAATAGGCATGAGGAAAAAGTTACAGGGAGGTAAATTCTAGGTCTACATAAGGAAGAATTTGCTGACTGAAACTTTCACAGTCTCCTCCCCAGCCCTGCTGAGGGATGTACTGAGCTCCCCATCCCTGAGGTTATGTTAACAGAAGCATAAGGCTGTGTTTCAGAAGCCATCTAGTGCTGAGTATTGGAGAGGTGATGAATCAGAGGCTCCCAAACATACCCCATCAGAACTTCCTGGGGAACTAGTTAGGCTGCATATTCCTGGGCCCCTGCAATGCTGAAGCAGTGGTTTGGGGAGAGCTGGCCCAGGAAGCTGCATTTTTAACTCCGTGGTGACAGCACACCCTGGGGGATAACATCTGCGGCCATCCCCACCAGCGGGTTTCTCAGAGGTGCTGCAGTGGCCCATCTTTAAGAACTCTCAGCCTGTCCACAGCTTCCTAGAGACTTCAACCCGCGGGGAATCACATCCTCAGGCCTAGCACCTGAGCAGGTGGGAGGCAGGTCAAGACCAGGCACTGCCCCTTTCCTAGAGAAGTTCACCCGCCCCCTGCCCTCCCAGACCTGCCCCCTCTCCCTCCGAAAGCCCCTGCCTAAGCCGGGCAGGCGTGTTTGGGTTTGTTTGTTCTCGGTTCCTCTCCTGCCCACCCCTCTCCCCTCACTAAGCTGTTCTACATGTAATTATCCATTTTATCAGGGTGAAAGGCCCTGCAATTCACTTGTCGAAGCCCTAACGAGGCAGTGTGGATGCTTTCAAGTCCGTAAAGAAAAGGGAAATCCTGCTAGAATTGGCAACTTAATTCACCAAGCCAGCCTCGACAGACCTCATTAAGTCCCCGTGTATTCATTTCAGGCTAATGGCTGTCATGCTGACTGCTGTTTGATTTGCTGTAATAGACTTTTATGGCGTTCCAATTTGCTCAAACGTGTTTGCCTGTGTCTCTGCCCAGCAGCGCTGCTCCAGCACCTCCGTTAGGGTTGCGTGCCCACCTCTCTGACCTTCAGCACTGCCCTGTGCTCCTCCTTCTGCCCCCGGCCCTCAGCCTTCCAGCTGTGCCCCAGGGAGGTGACCCTAGGTCTAGGTGTTTGGGTCAGAGGACAGATGGTGCCAGGAGGCTCCTTGGGCTCAGGAGGGCCTCTGGAGTGTCAGGGTTGGCCATGTCATTGACGTTCCGAGAAATTCAGCCTCCTTAGCTGGGCCTTTAGCCATCTGGCCTCAGCCTACCTTTCTCAGCTTATCTTCTGGTATTCCTCCACATGAATCCTCCTGTCAGCCAAGGGGCTAAGCCAGTGCCTCCGAGCATGCGTCTATGTGTCACTTTTCTTTGTAAAACACATGTCATACTGTTCTAACTAGTTCTGGAGTGTTTTCTTTCTTCTTGCAGCCTAACTCTATTCTGCCTGTCCTTCAAAGTCCAAATCTGATCCACTGTGCTTTGATTCCCTCAAATTGTTTGAAATGAACACAAACATTTGTTGAACAGCTATGGAGCGGGGCCCAGGGATTTTCAGTTGGCTTGGCAATTCAGGGTAGAAAAAAAGACTCTACTGTTTGCCAGCTGTATAACTTTGGAAGGAACTTAATCTTTCTGGACCTCAGTTTTTTAACTATAAGATGGGAGACAATGTTTCTTCCCTTTTGGGGTTATTGTGAGAGCTATAATAATGCTGGTAGGAAAAGCCCTTAGTCCAGTTTGTGGCTCATAATATATTTGGTGAAATACTAAATATTTGGGAGTGATTGAGACCAGGGTCTTTGTGCTCAGGGAAGGTAATTTTACAGGGAGAAAAACAAGTAAGTAGGTGTCTAACTGCCTCTAAATGTATTAAATGCTATGGCAGCTTAGAGTGTGCAAAGTGGGATGGAAGGAGTAGACCTATGGAGTGAACTGTGGAAGGAGTGAACTGGTCTATATATGGGGTCTATTCATATGGGACCTTACAGGATGAGTAGGAGTTTGTTAAGCAGAGAAGCAGATTATGTTCTCTCTGAAAATCATATACTTTCTGAGATCCTTTAGTTTTTTTTTTTTCCATGTGTTGGAATTTCCTGAAGAAGGAGGTGAACTCTAACTCCTGACCAGAGATCCTGGTGAGGTGGGACAGTGACTGTATAGGTATGTGCGTCCCTTGCAAGCGCCCCCATTACCTTGTAGAAACAAATTGGGCTGG